CCGATAATCTCTTAGTGTTATAACTATCTAGTTTGTAAGAATTCTTCAGCTAGCATTAATAAGTGAATAAGTTTAAAATCTATGTAACTAGAATAATATATTTAACAAATCCATCTGAAAATATTGTAAATTATTAGAATGGGGATTTGTGGAGATTTTAGTTAATCGATGTAAGCTTAACTACCACTGAAAACCTGGAAGCACTGGACTGCCGATTCGTCTTTTTATGTGCATTCACGATCCCACACCAAAGGGATTCGAATCCAGGACCTTCAGTCACACACGCGAACACATTAACCCTAAAACACTGATCCGGCATCAAATCGTCTTGATTTCTAACTCCAATTGGCCCATCGTCTGAGGTAGATACCTGACTGTACTCGACACGGATTGAACAATGGATGGATGATTGCTCGAAATCATGGGTCGACTAAAGTTGGATATTAACATTGTTGGGTGTCGGTTCAGAGGTCTAGATGCTAAGTGTTCATGCGTGAGACTGAAGGTTCTGGGTTCGAGTCCTCTTGGTAAGGGATCAGGGATGCACATTACTGAAGAATTCCATACTGAGAGGAATCACCAATCCAGTGCTTCCAGGTTTTCAGTGGTGGTGTAGCTTAAATAGACTCATGAATTCAACCATCATACTTAGTTAACACTTCTTAATTTAATATATTAAATTTTAGAAAGAAAGAAAATGTCTATAAAGAGAATTTATTTACATATTACTGTAATCATTGTATATGGTGTTATTCTAATAATGATAAAAATGTTATTAATGGTATAAATGATTTTGGTCATTCAACAAAAAGAGTCTTCAAATAATTCATTACTTTAAATACTTACTCCTATTACCTCCAAAAAAGCACAGGACGCCGACCACTACTCTCCAACACACTCTGTCCTAGGACTTCATTTATAGTTCAAAACAACTGTTGTTCATTCTTCTCATGTCTATCACCTTAACAAGTGAATGTGTAACCAGACAGTTCGAAGTATATTCAGCTTACATATCACATGAGTGAAAATAGCTTGATCTTGTATTTTCTAAAATTCTGATGTAAACTAAATTAGAATTCATAAAAATTTGGAAGACAAAACTCATTTAATGTTGCTAATTAAAAGACCATTTCAGTTTTTCTTTATTTCAAGACAGTATTTTGGAAATTGTAATCATTAATTGTGCATGAATTGACTTACTGATTAACTAAAGTTGAAGGCCATTAAACTTATTTAAACTATGTCTATAAATCGTATGTTTAAGCGTTGAGTTAAGAAGTATAATGCACTATCTGGTATCTGAATATTTTTAAATAATAATTTGAATACAACAGAATTATAGGTCGATAATTAGTGCTAATTTCTTAACAATAACAACAATTTATTTAACAGACATGGTTGAAATCCATTTGTCACAGCTACTTACTACAAGATTTGGAAATCTATCTTGACTAGTGATTGGCTACAAGATAGATTTTCGAGAGTTCTAGTGAGAAGCCATGACCAGTGGAGTTGGACCGTGTCTGTTGTGAAGTAGTTACTCACTGATGACAATGTGGTTATGGTGGTGGATTGGTTGAAGTTGGACATTAACACAGTTGGGTGTCAGCTCAGTGATCTAGATGTCAAGCGTTCGCGCGCGAGACTGATGGTTTTGTGTTCGAGTCCCTTTGGTGTGGGATCGTGGATGGGCACTAATGATGGGTTCTATAATGGCACGAAATGGCCGTCCTAGTGCTACCAGGCTTTCGATGGTTTTCCAGTATTCATAATATCAATATGAACTCAACAATTAGTGCAGCGTTATACTGATAATAAAATCTTTGTCAGATTGCCAATTGAAATTCTCGATTCTGAAGTGAAGTTGAAGTAGTGAGTAAATCAGTAACAATAGAGAAAACGTCATAGAGCACAGACAACTGTATGTCTGCCAGTTTCTTACTCTTCTGATTGTTTCGATATACATGATTTCCTAGGTAAGATTGCACGACGATATATTTAAATTGTTTAACACTCAGCTTCTGTATATGTACAGCCAGCTGTCAGGTGACACGAAGAATACGTGCTACTCACTGAGTATAACTGAAGAAAATTGATGCTTCTATCATGAAAAATATTTCAGATGTCATTAATCGTGACCAATAGTTTACTGCTTCCTCAATCTTATCACGTTTTGCCAACAGGGAAAGAGATTTATAGAATAACTCAATGTTTAAATAAGCTATGTATTTTCTGGAACTACCAATCATTTACATTTGTTGTCGATCAATCATTACTCACTATCTATCCTCTTAAATCACCGTTTTTCTTTCCCAAATGTATAAGAAGAGATCATGTTGTGCATCGTAGGACCTTGAAGAATACACGTAGCTATGATGGTTTGTGTTTTGGTTTTATTATGAAGATGGTTGGTGATAGTTATTTGAAATCTCACAAAAGCTATTATATGTTATTTGATATAATACCAACCATTCCCTTCATTCTTCCGTATATATGGGTGAGGACTCTCATACATTAGTATTCATTTTTGATGAGGAAAATGAAGAGACTCAATAATATTGTATTTAATACATATTATCTTACGAATAAGTTGCAGGAGTAAAACGGAAATCATGATAGTTGACTGTGCCAGCCAGTATATCATTGTTATTATATTTAAGTGATTCACAAATGTTATTCCGGAGGAATTACTATTCTTTACACAGGTTCGACGACGCGAGAAGTCATCAGTATCTATCAGTTCGAAGCCTCATACTGAAAATTCAACTTTTCCAAGTTTTCTTATTTATGATTATTCATAATAATTAGAATATGATTACAATGTACACCTGAATGACTAATCGAGAAATCTAGACTTTTCGGCAAAACGTCTGAGTGAAACTAAAGAAGTAGATGTTGTAAAATAAACACATATGTTGTGTGTAAGCATTCATAGAATAATTCGAATAACAAAATAAGCATAAGATTTACATTACTTAATCGTTGTTTGTTCAGTATATAAGAATGCTCTACAGATGGGTTTATTGATCTATTCAATCATTAAAGGATGTTCACAAAACTACTGAAGTCTACATGCTCAAATATTTGGAGATTTATCCGAACCGCCATTTGAACTGGCTTCCTCAACAGGATCACTGCTCTTCTTACTTTTATTATCTTCGTACATACGCTGATGCAGTTTACTTTTTCAAATACATTTCAGAGATCATAAGCCTATATATTACCCACTTAACTGACAGAGACGTTACGAGTAATTGATCAGTTCTTTGAAGCACCACTCACGTATACTGGGCCACTAAGCGAGGCATAATGAAATTGGACATAAGGCTCTAGGATATGAACATTTTCTGACCAAAATGAGTGTGGCACGTTACGGACTACTTGTTGGGAAATTCAGAAAAATATCCAAAAAATTATCCTGTTAAGTCTAATGCTATCCTTGAACGTGAAATGGTGTCATTTTCCTATTGGTCAATATTTATTTCACGCGTCATTTCCCTACTGGTCAATATTTATTTCACGTGTCATTTTCTTGTTGGTCAATATTCACGGTAGTCCTTACTGTATAAATATGCATTTGTCTGTAAAGTATTATTCCTATTCTCATTCTTCCCCTGACCCCATAAACAATTTCATCAACGGTTCGTGTTCTGATATATTTGAGATTGGGGTCGTACTGGGATATTTGAAGTTGGTCAGTCGGTAGAAATTGGAGTAGCCAACCCGCGGTCCACAATACTACTACATTGCGAATAACTGGCCACGGTTAGATCAGGTTGAGTAGAAAACAACGGTGATAGTAATCCATGTAATCATCAACTGTTGGCTTTGATTTCATACGATTATTTACATCTTAAACTCGAATATTACTTCATGTTTATTTATCCTTACTTGTCTTTATTGAGGCGTATTCTCTATATTAATTTTCAATATCAATAGCATCATAAGGATTTCGATTCCTTCGATCTCCGTTGCAATAAATTTCTCTATGTTGTACAGATAGTTTAACTGATGTACATTTGTGTCGAATTACACAATCTTTGTAAGTGACTAACATACCTTGAAATAATAGTGCATTTTGTTCCGTCTATATTATCCTCACATGTTCTTTTTTTAAAAAAAATCTTATTACTCTATGACTAAGTAGAACGTTAAAAGAAATAAGTAGACTTTCAAAGAATCAATAAATTTTTCCATCTAGACCCTAATCCGTCTATCAACCAAAGGACGTGTTTACTATGCAGCAGTTCGTCTCGTCCTACTTTATGGCAGTGAAACATGGCCGGTAAGAGTGGAGGATATTCATAGGTTACTAGTATTCGATCATAGGTGTCTTCGAAACATTGCTCGTATATCATGGGACCACCGAGTAAGTAACACAGTTGTTAGGAATCGGGTACTAGGTAAGAATAGCAAATCAATTGATGAAGTAGTGAAGCTTCATCAGTTGGAATGGCTGGGACACGTGTTACGTATGCCCAACGACCGACTGCCACGACGTGCGATGTTCAATTGTATAGGAGTAGGTTGGAAGAAAGCTAGGGGCGGCCAGACCAAAACATGGCACAAGTCCATGAAGTCACTGACAAGTGGACTGAGTCATGTTGGTAGGTGTAGACTACCTGATTGGGGACCGCGAGATGATAGCAACCGATGGTTAGAGACCTTGAATGACATGGCTCAAAATCGTTTGCAATGGCGCAGGTACATCCACTCTTTGTGTTCTCCCAAATTCTAATCTTCTGAATTCTCCATGTCCCTTTTTTCCTCTTTCCAAATTTATTTCACTGGATTATACTCTTTCAATAACATCTCCAAACCTTAATCTTCCCGATTACTGCTTATACTCTTGCTACCTCTACCACTACGGGATTTGAATCGACCACTGGATCTCTGTGCTAAGGTGGTGTGGCAACTCGAACTGATATACGTACGTACGAAGTTCTACGTTGTTACTGACTGACTGACTTAGACCCTAATGAAATTAATCAAACAGAAAATAATCACAATATTATATTTGGATATTAAAACTAGTTTATCATTTCAAAACAATAAGTCGAAATTGTTCATCGAAAGGATTCATTAAAATCATGTAAACATTTTTATCTATGTAAAGTATACCTGAAAGGTTGATACTTCAATCGAAATGACGGTTGATTTGAAAAAAAAAGAGATTAGATAAGTGTACATGATTAAAAAACAAACAAACTTGAGAAACTAGTAAAAAATATCAAACATGATAAAATGTAATTTTCATAAGTCATTGACATAGTATATAAGCAAGCAACAAAATGAGTTATTATTCAATCATAAATATAACTGAAGATTTTTGACAATTTAAAGGATAATAAATGATAACAATAACAGAATAAGTGGATTATGTTACATTAGATTAGGAGTATTTTTTTTCTTATTTGATTCGAAACAAACACAAAGAAACCATCATATTAAATTAAAACAAATGTGTTTATAAATGTGTGTGTGTATATATGTGTGTAAGTAAGGAAAACAAAATTAAATGAATTTGAAGATCCAACAGAATATTCGATCTTTATGAAAGACCTTTATGACCTGAAAAGAAAACACAAATACAACACTGGTATATCAAGTAATAACATGTTGAAAGTAAGTAAGCAATTCACAAGCTACATAGGACAATATAATCTTCAATAGAGAACAATAACAAATAGCGCAGTTAAATAGCATATACATAGACTACTGGTATTACATTGTAGGTGTCCAGAATGCATTGCTTGTGTACAATGAGATTACAAAGTAAGAAATGTTTGGGTTAGGAATAGAGTATTAGGTAAAAATGGGAAATCAATTGATGAGGTAGTATATCTACTTCAACTGAGGTGATTGGGACATGTGTTACTTTTGCACAACCACTCACTTCTTCGACGAGCAACGATGAATGATATAGGTGTAGATTGAAGTAGAGCTAGGGCCGGACAAACCAAGACATCGCATCAGTCCATAATCACACTGAATATTGTAATGAGACATATATAGAGAGATGTAGATTTCCGCTTGGGGTCCACGCGATTATCGTAACTAATTGTTGGACACTGGAATGGAATGGTTCAAAATTGTTTGCAAATGATCAGGTAGATTCGCTCCCAGTATTTCCTTAGATTTGAAGTCTATAAATGTTTTTACTTCACTATTTTATAATTTCCTCTTGAATTGCGTTTTGGATACATAATATTTTCTATTATTACTAATACTACTACCATCTCTACTATTTTGCGATCTACCCTGACAATTTCATACAGACGGGCTAATGGGCTATAGCAACTTGTATTCACGTGACAGATTTTACGTTGCGTTTGACTGATTGAAAATAATTACATAGATTTAAGATGATGAATTGCAAAATAGTCGAGATTATTGGAGCGTCGATGATACTGAGAAAATCTGTAAATTGAGAATATGGCTCGAAAATACAGAGTGGAACTCAAGGTCTACAAGAAAATAACGAGTGAATGCATTCACGCTGTTGTGACGAGTTTTAAGCTGTGTGACAAAACGCATTCGACTGCTAATCGTGGTTTTCGTGTGGAACCCAAAACCAGGTAGTCTATATATACCTACGTCGCTCACACCAATAACTGAATGATTTCAATAAGGTTAACATCTGTTATTAATTTAACAACACTCAAATAGGTAAACGTGAATCTACTGTTCCACTACTTAGTAGTTAAACAATGCTGAAGTGTCGGTGACTAAGCAGTAAGAAATATCAATTACAATGTGTTCTGTAGTGGTATTTACATATATCTATGAACGCAATGTAAACTATATTAATTTCAAGGGAAACATAGTTATCATAAACTTTATATTCTTATCGCATTATCTAGAAAAGAAATATTAGTGTCAACAATTTAGAACAATGTCAAGATAAGTCATTTAATTAACGGAACATAATCAACAAAGTGGTATGAATATCATTTTACTGAACTCAACATAGATCAATACACAAGATAAATCTACTTCAAAGTATGTAAATTGTGAAACATACTTTTTCACATTGATTGACATTACTTGGAATTTATTATTACCATTTAGGTTAAGGTTTCAAAGCATTCGATGATAATTACGACGATGTGTCCACAGAACAACAATCATCGGATTCTATAACCGATGGCATTACATTGTTCGATTTATCATGTGCATTATTTGAATTATCAGGTGGATTTTGTCGAATAGCTGTATATAGATAGGGCGAAATGTTAAGGATGGGAAAAAGAAATATGAGAGAAGTAATTGAATAAATGAGTGAAGTCATATCATTAACAAATAAATAACTCAATAAATAGAATACTTGGGTTATTTTGAAATATTGCCCAACCGAAGGCCCTAGTAATGGTGACAACTTGGACCAATATACACTCGTGGCACATCCAATGTTGATAATGGGTGACTGGTGTTCTGTTCACTTGAAATTGCTGACGATTTACACGTGTTTTACTTTTATTATCATGAGAAAATCTAACATCAACATATAAAGTTTAAAATCCTGGAGGACGTAGTCCTTTCACTACTGTGTTACACTCCAACAGCGAAACCAATACGACAACAGGGTGTACTCTGGAGTGAATCAATATGAACCTCAATCTTCCTCGCAGTTTATGAACACGATCATATATATGAAGCAGAAAAGCATATAACTTTATTCAATATGAAGTTTTTCAACAAATCTGTCTTAATAAAGAAAACGTATAAGCATACCATATTGTAAAAATGATTTCCAGATGAAAGTGAAGCAGTGAGCCAACGGTTTGCCAAAAGTTGTCATTAGAAATTGCATTTATTTCGATATGTTAGCAATAACGAATATTCTTATTTCTATTCAGTATTATGATAGGAATATTGATGAGACTAACTTTCTTGACTCGGAGTAGTCAAGCATCAATCTAATTTTGTCACATGAGAATAACGTTACGTTAGGGTGATAAGATGACAAGATAAGAGCTTACTTTTGTGTTGGTTACGCTATTTGAGATGGATGGTTTAACTGTGGGGGTTTCAATGATGTTTTAGTAAGAGTTTATTTAGTTCGGGTTGATGTATTATTATGTGGATGACCCGACCGTTGTTGCTACCTTGACGTGGTGGTCGGGCTTGCCTATTGTGATGAAGCAACCGAGCTATACTGGCTGGAACAACCGTTCCTCAAGGTCCTACCATGTCAGACAGGTCGGTTGAAGAGCGGTAAGATTAAAAGCAACAAACCCAAGGTCCGAAGGCGAAGTCGTACTGATGACTGTACAGAGGTGTGACAGCAGTACGGTGTTTCCTTCAGACAACCAGCATGACAGCGATGCTACCTGCCCACAAGGAGGGGTGGGGTTAGAAAAGGTCGACCCTAAAAATGCACACCTCACCTTACCTCACGGATTTCCGTCTCCGGCGGTAAGGCCCTTTGAAGAACGGAGCTAACACGCCAAAAACCTCCCACGAAAAGGCCGTGCGCGACCGGCCTCAAGCAGTTGTCCCTTGGGCACTGCGGTCACGCTCTCAGGTTACTGAGACCACCTCTAATCCAATTTCCTTTTCAGGTACCTCCAGAAGAACCCTTCCTCGTTGTGGGCAACCGGGAAGTGATAACCGCCCTCATACCTCTAACAGCACCCAAGACCACTGTATTCATAATCAACCTCCTCTTCAATTCCTATTATTCCTCGTACATCAACTTTCCACTCTAGACTTCCTCTTTTGGCTTCCTCCTCAAGTGTCACCTTAGCCAACGATTCTAGTGCTCAAAACCCTGTCCCAGGTTTACTGAAACCTCGCTCCAAACTACACATTGGAGCCTTCAACGTACGCACCCTATGTCAAATCGGTCAGCAGGCTTCCTTGGCTAAAACCCTAGAGTCTCTTTCCATTGACGTATGCTGTGTCTCCGAAACACACATACAGGACTCCAGTGTGGTCATTCACTTGACCTCACCTTGGCAAAACGGAGAGCCAACGAGATACACCCTTCGTGTATCTGGTGACCCGATGGTCAGTTCTCGTGGACTGGCAGGTGTAGGCATAGCACTAAGCATGAGGGCCGAACAAGCACTGCTAGAGTGGATCCCCGTCAACAGTCGTCTATGTGCTGTTCGGCTGAACGGCTACGTAAGAACTCGGAAGGATAGGGACACACGTCGTTGCCTTTTTGTCGTTTCTGCCTACGCTCCCACTGACTGCAGCTCAGATGATGTGAAAGATGAATTTTACAGAAAGCTGTCCGAACTTCTTCAGAAAGCTAAACGCTCAGACATAGTACTCGTAGCAGGTGATTTTAGTGCTCAGATAGGCAGTTTAAACCAAACAGAAAGGCATTTAGGTGGATATTTTAGTATTCCGACACAGCGAACAGATAATGGTGATCGTCTGCTGCAGCTATGCTCAGACAATCGTTTATTTTTAGCAAACACAAATTTTAAGCATAAGGAGAGACATCGTCTAACATGGCGACCCCCTACACCAAACCAACGATGGACTCAAATAGACCATATTGCCATCAGTCATCGTTGGAGAGGGTCGGTAGAAGATTGTCGCTCATTCGGGAGTACCTGCTTGGACTCCGACCACGCCCTAATATGGGCACGCATCTGCTTGCGCCTTACTGGACGCAAAAAAGCCACATTAAAAAGACCCGTTAGAACTGAGTTGAGTAACGAGAAAACCAAAAGTAGGTTCCAGGAACAACTGAGGTCACACTTAGGTAGTTGTGAAGACGAGGCTGACCCAGATGTTGCTTGGAAGGGCATACAATCAGCTGTGGAAACAGCTGTGACATCAATCAGTGATTTAAACCACAGGGTTACAAAGAACCAATGGATTTCTTCAAAGTCTATCACACTGATGGATTCTCGCAAACTCGTCCCATCAGGTTCCGAACATGATGAAGAGCGACAACAAATCAGATCTAGGTTAAGAAAAAGTCTAAGAAACGACCGTGAGCAGTGGTGGGCAATGAAAGCAAAAGAGATGGAAAAGGCGGCAACTATAGGGAACACAAGACAGCTTTACAGACTAATAAAAGAAACTGGAATTAATAAGTCAAGTGTAAGTAAGATTATATCGGAAAAAGACGATACTCTCATCTGCTCCCAGTCCAGACGTTTAGAACGATGGGCGGAACATTTCAGAGAACAGTTCAACTGGCCTTTAGCTACTCTACAACTACCCTCCATTCCCAGACAGTGTGAATGGAACATTGAAGTAGGTCCCCCAACTCTAGCAGAAGTTCAAAAGGCTATAGCTAATCTGAAACGAGGAAGGACAGCTGGTCCAGATGGATTGGCTCCAGAGGTCTTTAAGGATGGTGGTCCAATTTTAGCGATTAGGTTGACTAATATTTTAGCTAGGATCTGGGAGTTAGACGTTATCCCATCTAACTGGTCACAATCACTTATCGTCCCATTATATAAGAAAGGGTCAAAATCATCCTGTGACAACCACAGAGGGATTAGTTTAACTAATATAATATCTAAAATACTAGCTTCGATAATTATCAGACGCCTAACTAAGACTCGTGAACTGCAGACACGAGAGACTCAAGCTGGCTTCAGACCTGGTCGTGGCTGCATCGACCACATATTCACCATTCGTCAGATTCTAGAACACAGGCATACCTATCGGCGTCCGACAATGGTGGTCTTTCTCGACTTAAAAGCAGCATTTGACTCGGTAGACCGCGAGATTCTGTGGCAGTGTCTGTCATTGAAAGGCGTACCACAGAAGAACATAAACCTTGTGAAGGCTCTTTACTCGAACACTACCAGTCGAGTCAGAGCTTATGGCGAACTGTCATCTACTTTTGCAACCTCAAGTGGTGTCCGTCAAGGCTGTCCACTTTCCCCATCTTTGTTTAACTTCATCATAGATCTACTGATGGAAATAACTTTCTCGTCGACTGAGTTCTCGGGTATTGATCTCCATCCAGGAGGTCCACTTATCGACTTAGAATACGTAGATGACATAGTCCTGTTTGGTGAAGACGCTGACAAAATGCAGAGTCTTTTGGTAGCACTAAGCAACAATGCCAGAATGTTTGGAATGCGCCTCTCTCCCTCTAAATGCAAGTTGTTGCTTCAGGACTGGTCTGCGTCAACACCTGAACTAAGGATAGGGAGTGAAGTAGTCGAACGCGTTGGCAACTTCATTTATCTTGGAAGTCTGATCAGCCCTAATGGGTTGGTGTCTGACGAAATCTCAGCACGGATTCGAAAAGCTCGCTTGGCTTTTGTCAACTTGCGTCACCTTTGGCGAAGGCGAGATATCCGTCTATCAATAAAAGGACGGGTATACTGCGCGGCAGTCCGTTCTGTTTTAATTTACGGCAGCGAAACATGGCCATTAAGAGTAGAAGACACTCGTAAGCTATTAGTATTTGACCACAGATGCCTTAGAAATATTACTGGCATCTGCAGGGATCACCGGGTAAGTAATAGTGAGGTTAGACGCAGGGTATTAGGGAATGATGGTAAATCTGTTGATGAGGTTATGAATCTTCATCGACTGAGATGGTTGGGCCACGTGTTACATATGCCTGAACACCGATTACCACGACGTGCAATGCTATCCGGTATTGGAGATAGTTGGAAGAAAGTTAGGGGCGGCCAAACCAAAACGTTGCATCAGTGCTTGAAGACACCAACTTCTAGTCTGAGCCATGTTGGTAGATGCAGACTACTTGGTTGGGGTCCGCGTGACTTTCGTAACCAATGGTCGGAGACTCTTGGTGACATGGCTCAGAATCGATCACAATGGCGTCGGTGTATACACTCCCTGTCTTCCCTTAAACTAAGAGATTAAAATCACTTCATATCTTTCTTTCTACGAACCAATTCTTTCTTCTTGTACTATATCTCTATATGCAATCGTTCTCTTATATATTACTACCTTTGACCTAACCACTGCTATGAATCCGGTGTTCATCTTGTTGTGCTGATGCGGTATGGCAACCTGGACCGATGCACATATGTGCCTGGTCCTACGTTGTAGATGACTGACTGACTGACTGATGTGGATGACTGATGATTTCCATATTCAATATTACTTTTGCTAATACCACAGTCTTTAGTCAGTGATATCTAAAGTGGAATCAGGCACATAGATGGATATGTTTGACATTTTCTCTGTATGTATTGATAAATGTGATAATACGGATATGAATTTAATTGGTAAAGTGTCAAAATATGCAATCTAGTAAGCTAAAAAAAATCAGAAAATTTCTTGATGTACGGCATTCAGGTTACCTAACATATCGAAGTGGATACAAATGATCAGTTTGTATGATGAATCAACCAAATGATGATTAAATTAAGAGTAATAGATTTGTCACATATTAGAAGTTATTTTTTCTCAAAGAAATTATTAATATTGGCAGTCAGTTAGGTACCATAAAGTTCAATAAATGAAATGGTGTTTAGGGCAATAACTCACCTGAAATAAGTTTACCTCGATTTACCGGAAGTTTTTTTGAAAAATCTACATTTTCACCATCCATTATACTGTTAGTTTTTCTTAAAGATTTGAAAGCATTTGTCAATTCTGTAAGCATTTCTACACTAGGAGATTGTAAGTTATTTTTAGGATTAGTTGAAATTGTTGATGATAATCTTTTGGTAGGTTCCACTCCTGAATCTTCAGTAAATGTAAATGTAATTTATATAAATCACAAAGATATATACACAATCAAGACAAAGGTTATGAAAATTATTCATATGTGTTGTATAATATACTAGATATATGAAATGAATATTTGCAAAATGTTAAAAAGGAATTAAAACCATATTTGAAAAGAGAAATAATCATTTTCCAGTGTATATATATGATGTGGTTATTGGTTAGTGATAAAATAATAATGATACAATGTGAACAAAGAAAACTTTAATAAAATAGTTTTGAGATGGTGGAAAAGATCTGTAGCTCAGGTGGATGATTTTGATGGAGTTTTGTTCTCTGAGCTGGATGGTTTGGTCGTGGAACTTTCATCATTCTTCTGAACGACATCATCAGCACAAACTTCTACGACCAAACCATCCAGCTCAGAGAACAAAACTCCACCAAAATAAAACGGTTTGTATATAATACATGATAATGTAAACTTTGATATATTATAACTTGGCATTTCTTTCACGTTGCTATTTATCCAAATAAATGAATCAGGTTATTTCCCAAATAAATATTAATACTACATAATGTAAAATATCAAGATATTAAGTTATGAAGCAGTAACGATAGATTACTGACGTGAATATACCTTACCTTTTAATTTAACTTTAAAAAAAACTTACGTCAAAGATTTAGTAGACGCTACGGATGGAAGTGTTGAATAAAATAAGAATGTACTCCTATAGTGTAAACTATATATCGACAAATGGTTCAAACGTAAATAATCAATTCTGTATGAATTTAGAAATAAAGTAATGACTGAGTGATAAAAAACTCTTTTATCAACGAATTAATCCAATTTTTTCAAGTATTCAGGGGATATCACTAGACCATACAAAAACATGTGGCTTGAAATACATTACACGGGCCTGTATTAGCTACAGAGTAGGATTTAAAACATTTATTATTATTTATTTATTTGAAAAAAACACATTGATACAAGAAAGCACCAAATATATGTGCGCCATACTTCATCATTCGATTTGTGTAAGGGTTGAATTATCTCCAGACACCCAAACCGAATCGAGTGATTTTCTTGGGCGAATATTGCATGAGCCTTTGACCTAGAGGTTTAATCAACAAGGTAGTGGAGTAACGTCAGTAGATGCAGTCCCATGGTATCCGGTGACCAACAGTAGGTTTATATGCCATTTGTTCCCTAACGAACCTGATGTCTATGTGCTCCATTTGTTTGGAATCATGGTTTTCCGACTCTCCTAGATGGATCCTCCATATCCACCAACCCAGTTAAAGTACTGGACATTCGCTTTTTGTCCTCTTAGTTTCGTAAACAACACCCTCGCCACGAGAAGGCAGAGAGTAGGACTTCCCTGTCAGTGGCTGTATACACGCGGCCATGTGAGAGCATTTCGAGGGGAAGAGAGGACTCTCCCCATCCCACCCTCGGCCGTGCCAGCGCATTCGGGGGAGTAGGATTTAAAACTTATTTTATTAATTATTATTTTCAGCTCAAGTTTACTTATCGCTGTCACTGATGTATCTATCACAGATGTGAGCAGTTTTCATTGTGAAACAGATGAGTACAATCATAAAGACAAAATTATTTTCAGTAACATATAAGCGCCATATTTATGAGCTAAACATCTTTCTTCCAATGAATTTAACCCCCCCCCCAAAAAAAAGCTTATGAGATAATAATTTCGAAAAAAGAAAGAGGAATCGTAGGACAACAGCATAAAACTTTATGGTGACATTGATGAATTAAAGCGTCAGCGTAATCTATGATACGATAATCGGACACGATAACAAATACACAAAGTCAGGAGAATACAAACAAAAAGACCAAATTACAAGAAACGTATATATGTTATTAATAAGACTTGTTAATCATATATTACATATTATATCCTAGGTGAACACTGATTATTACTATGATAAAGAAATGGATGACATAGATTTAATATAAATTCAATCAAACTTAATACAAAATCAATTGAATTAGGATGATAACCTGTCTACTTTTCAATAATTGACAAACAATCATTAATATATTCACTAATTTTCCGACCACAGCTTAATACTTTAAACTTTTTAGGAGAATAGTTTAGCGATATTTCAACAATATACATTCAAAGTGTAAAACGTTTTAAACCAATTTCTCGCGGTATCGAAAAAAGTTGAAATCTACACTGTGCATACAACAAAATGGTTAGGGGTGGAACTATATTCACCCACAAACACACACATATAGCTACACGAGTTTCATCGAACCACAATACACAGAACCATATTTGCATCAATAAAATATTCAGAAGGTTCATGGAAAACGTGAAAACAAACAGAGGGGCTCACATAGCTTCGGATCACCACTTTCTCCAGACCGAGATGAGATTGGAGCCAAAAGAGCACTGAACAGCCGAGCAAACAACATTACAAAAGTTTGATACAGTCTTCCTTCGAGATACTGACAAACTCAATTAATTCAAAATAGGTATCAGCAGCAGGTCCGGTTCCAAGACTTACAACATTAACTTAAACAAGAGGTAACTACTATGAACAACAGCTGGAAAGGGATGAAGGAAGCACTGGGAAAAAAACTGGAAAAGACAACCGAAAACACGGTTGGTTTGGCAGTCTATGCCCCACGAGCAGTGACAGGCGCAATTAAGTAAGTAATGCGTTGATCTTAATCTCATAAAATATTTCAGTAAACCATATCTTGACACAACGTATAAAAACAGGCGGTTATAAGTTAAGATGAATGCTAAGTAACACCGTATTAATTAACAAAAATTTGTTTACTATTCTAAAAAACTCCTTATCAATAAGAGTAAATGCACATTGAAACTAGTGAATAGATTACAGTTACTGAAGGTGATTAAGAAAAGACGTCATTATATTGAGATTGGAATTTGATATATTATATGAGTAAGTATCCATTACAGAGCAATTGAAAGTATTTTAACACAAACCCAAACATATGAGAACTCTAACAGATCGAAGGTATATCATACAACTTTCAAAGGTAATAATTTACATGCTAATATCAGGTCAAGAGAGGAGACTGGAATTTCAGGATAGCCTAATATTCTGAATAGAAGTCTAAAATTGAATAAAATCAGAAAAATAATTGAGGCAGAAGAGTATGAAGTCGTTATATTTTGTGTTTTCTTATTAACTGCTTACGACCATTGATGTGTAATAACGTGCAACACTGAGATATGATATAATGTGTGACAATATCTCAGCATTTAACTGATACCGGGGATATCATCGACAATTCCCAATCATTAAAATCTATCGGTTTGCCGACGCAGTAGAAATTCAGAAACTTAAACTTGATTTATGTCCCCAGATAGGGACAGTCACCCACCACCCTGATAAATTCACAACTTTGATTAATATCATCTGCAAGTATTTTACAAGTGTTTATTTTGTTATGCGGCTTTTGTCGAACTAACTCTTACCTCATCTACGCTAAAATCATACTTTCATTTATCAGTTTTTTGCTCAATTCACCGAATTCTCTAAACTTATGTAAATTCAACAAACTTTGTACAATTATTACGTAACCCTTCGATTGTTAGTTCTAGACAATTATTATTCAAATTCTTTCTTTCATCAATGTCGATTACTTCATATCATTTCATATATCGATGTTGCACTTTAATACAAACACGGTTGTGCAGCTGTTGAGAAACCACGATGTATAATGAATCCACAGTATTCTGTCTCGACTGTTGTCATGGCTTTAATCAAATTTGTAAAAAGAACCAATTAGTGAAAATCCAAAATCCAAATGGAACACAATAAATGACAATAGATAAGTGGAGAGCGGAAGACGATGAGGAAATATAAATTAGAAAAAAAATTATCGACTTTGTACTTTAAAAAATAATAGGGAATAACAAGAGAAGTAAACTTAACTTTTAGGGACCCTTAAAGTAATGAGCCTGTGCCTTTTAATTTTGTATCTGTAGGACGACACGGTAAGATTAAAAAACAAGATAAACAACCTCATAATGGTCAGGTTATTCAAGCAAATAAGTAAAATTAAGACTAGTGTACGAATTTCGGGAAAGAAAGATATGAAACATAGGGGCTTGACTTATGAAACAATAATCTCCAACTCCAGCAAAAATAATAAGTTTGCCAAAAACAAGGTAAACACATAGTATAAATTTGGATCCGCCAGTGTTGCTTACAACCTGACAACAGAAAACGGAACAAAAACAATCAATATCAGAGCAGAAGCGGTAGTGGTAGAAATAGCATTCGTCGTAATGACATAGATTATTCAAACAGAATATGATTCCACAAGAATGAGTTGACGCTGTAAAAAAGTAGAACAAGTTTAAGATGTAGTAACACGCGACAGATATGGAACTAATATAGCTACAAATAACAACGAATTAAGACAACGACACAGAAAATAGCTTCCTGTAATCTAACAATAGAAACCATAACAAAATTACTAAGTCACAAATGTGGAAAGATCAGCGGTAAAATTAACTTCTTGAAAACGACAAAATTAATTTTGCAAATAATTACAGAGAAATAAAGGATCAGTTATCATTTCGTTAACTACTCATTTCAACAAAGTACCAATCGGACTTACCTGAATCTTTAAGTGATGGATCCGAATAATTAGCACGCACAGTGGAGTTCCGTTGTAAAGACGATGGAGCTGGTGGTGAGGGAGGTGGCGGTGGCGGTGGTATTGCAGAACGACATTCTTTCACAGATTCCTAAGAGCAGTAAGAGAAAGTATCAACTACAATCACGTCATGTGAATAAAAATGACAAATTAAACTCAAGTACAACATCATCCGATTAGACTGATCAGACATTATGTTTACATTGCATACATACCAAAAAACATTGATTTTCCACATCCATATGGAAAAGAGACAATGAAACAGTCACAAATGGAATCCGCTCACCATAGAAATACAAAACCACAATAATACATTTATTAAACACAACTCAATGTTTTAAACGCAATGCAACAGAAATACAAGGCAGACATAAGAATAGAAAGCACCTGAGAACAATTGGAAAACACTTCCTAAGACGGATTTGATTGGAGAATACTGGTCAACAGCCTATGCTCCACAAGGTGTAAAACGAATAATTAATGAAGATAACGTTGTTCAGATTACAAATATTTAACCCAATCCAATTTACTGTCTTGTACATTCTTATCTGAATTAATCACAATTATGATTATAGTGTATTGATCAGATAAAATATTTAAACGGTCGTACCAGATGTAGGAATATAATCACGCTTTATGTAGTGAGTAAAATCAAAGTCAGAACACAACACACAACATTGCCGTCAAACAACATTTTGTGACCGAACAAGAATCCCACGACCAAATACACAAACTCACCAAAATCATTCAAATAAAAACACAACACTCCTTAGAATATATGTTTTTCTAGGCAATATCTATAAACAAACCTTCTTTGTAATGGACGTCATTGTGGTAGATGGTTTACACTCATGAGAATTTGATTGATTGTTCACAACATCGACAACACTTGGCTTTGTAACTATTTCTTGAGAATGATTTTTGGGCGCTGAGACTTTATTTGATTTGCGGCCTAGTAAAGCACATAAATAATAAAGGTTACAAACCATTATAACACAAATAATTTAAACATACTATAACATTCTACATACAAAGATGTATTTCAGCAGAAACATGATTTTCATTGAATATGAATATGTAGTGGAGATTGACCAGTAATACTGATCAAAAAAATAAGTGTACATCAGTTGTTGACAAAGCATGTGTGCCCTTTACCACAAAAACAACATACATAATATACGTTCACATCACAAAGCGTTTAAATAAATTAACGTTATTTTAGCGTCTTTAACAATTTTAACTATTCCATTACCGTACCTACGATAAACCAGTTGGAAAACAAGTTTTCACTTTGGACATTTGTCTATGAAAGTTCAGACGAAAAAGGAGCACATAACTGACAAAGTAATCACTTTAAGTCTGAGTTCACTGTAGGTTCGACTTGACCAATAGCATTCAAGTAACGAGATTTTAATAGGGAAGTATAATTTTGGCACGCCACTTAGAGGTGAGTTCTAATGCTGAAAACCATCTACTTCAGAGAAACACGACCACAATAGCAATAATTTACGTATCCTTAGAGCTTCATACTTGCCAATCACTATCATCGCCCAATGAAATTTATGGGATATTTGTGGTGGTAATTTTAGAACAGACTTACACTACGTAATCACCATTAATTAATCTGTCGAAATAAATACGAAAGATATCGGTTGTGCATGACACGAATTCAAAAAATTGCTGCACTGAGCCTGATATCATTGTTTAAAAATGAACAGACCAGATGAAATCTACAATATTTTAGTCTGGATAGATGTACCAAGATTCATATGTTGAAAAATAACACACAGAATTGACAAAGTTGTTTACCTTCTTTTATGAATTCATCATCTAGGCGACTATCCGTTTTAAGCAAGTGCGAATCAGATTTACGAGAGTCTTTATGTGTTGACTTGGGCATGTTTGGATCATTACCATTAACAGGTTTATTGAGACTTGGAAGTATTTGTGGTGGTGGTGGTGGTGGTGGTGGTGGCGGTGGTGCAGGAGAACGATATTTTTTCTCGGATTCCTAAGAGCAGTGAGAGAAAGTATCAACTACAATCACGTCATGTGAATAAAAATGACGAATTAAACTCAAGTACAACATCATCCGATTAGACTGATCAGACATTATGTTTACATTGCATACATACCAAAAAACATTGATTTTCCACATCCACATGGAAAAGAGACAATGAAACAGTCACAAATGTAATCCGCTCACCATAGAAATATAAAACCACAATAATACATTTACTAAACACAACTCAATATTTTAAACGAGTTAGTCAAAACGCTAATGCGTGCGTAGAAAGGAATCTAAGGTCATTGTGACTGAAAGAAAAACCAGCGCACACAGTACAGCTTCCACAAAATACAAATGACAAATCGTGTGATAGTTTTCAAAATAACACTGATCACTGTTATTAGTCTATTCTACAGGTCAGCATCAATCGTAAATATATTTATTTTATGAACAAGTAGGACATAAATTATCTGAAAATATTGGCTTTAGTCTGTCCGGCACAAACTCAGTGTCTAGAAGACCATTTATAACTCCACCTTCAGCACTTCTAGGTTCACTGCTAGTCCCAAACTCGGATAAGGATGCAAGTTTGGGCATGGGTTTATTAAAACTTTCTGAAAAATAGCTAATCAGAAAAATCATTTCAATCATTCAAACTCTCTCCTGTGAGTTGAAGGACAATAATTCAGAAGAGTTATGACGACCTCAAGTGGAAGACGAGGTTTTCTAGAAGTTATGAGTACGATGCCTCTTTTGACAACCAGAGCGACAATTAATATAGGTACATGGAATATCCAAACAGTGGAGGAGACCGGGAGGACCAGTGAAATAGCTCCTGAAATCAGGAGATAAAACCTGATGGTGTTCGGAACAAGTGAACGCATTGCACCCATGATAGACAGAATAAATCACCTTCAAGAGAGTAGCTATTGTACTCTAGTGATGAGGGAGAAAATCTGTGGCATACACAGAGTTGCACTGATGATTTTCATAGAAATACGAGAACTCATGAGATTGGAATCTCACGGACCTAGGATCATCAAAAGATACTTCAAAACACAGAAAGGGGGATCCTAATGAATGTTATCCAGTGCTATGGGCACATCAATCATAGCAACGAACACTATAAAGAACAGTATTATGAGAGGCTCTAGTCGATCGTAGATAAGTGTTCACTAAAAGACCTGACAATCTAGATGGGAGACCTAAACACCAAGGTTGGGATGGACAACATCAGGCATGGAGATACCATGGAAAGACATGGACTAGGAGAAAAAGGAACGAAAATTGTGAGACGTTTGCAAATTTATATGCATTCAACAAAATGGTTAGGGGGGAACTATATTCACCCACAAACACATACATATAGCTACACGAGTTTCATCGAACCACAATACACAGAACCATATTTGCATCAATAAAATATTCAGAAGGTTCATGGAAAACGTGAAAACAAACAGAGGGGCTCACATAGCTTCGGATCACCACTTTCTCCAGACCGAGATGAGATTGGAGCTAAAAGAGCACTGAACAGCCGAGCAAACAACATTGCAAAAGTTTGATACAGTCTTCCTTCGAGATACTGACAAACTCAAATAGTTCAAAATAGGTATCAACAGCAGGTCAGGTCCCAACAAGAGGAAACTACTATGAACAACAACTGGAAAGGGATTAAGAAGCATCAACTTCAACATGACTGGAGCTGCTGGGTCGCAAGTAGCACCGTCATAAACAGTAGGTCTCTATTGATATCCTGAACAAAAGTAAAGGATGGAAAGAAGGAAGTACAAGAAAACAGTAATTACGAACAGCCGAATAAGAGCACAGAAAGCCAAGGCACAAGAAGAATATACCGAAGCAAACAAGCGAGTGAACAGGAGCGGAAATATGTGGAACGCCTAGCGATGATAGCGGAAAAAGTTGCAAGAGAAGGAAATATGACACAGTTATATAATACAAAGAATAATCTACCAAGAGAATATAGTTTAACACAGTGTCCAATCAAGGACAAAGAAAGTAAACGACACATTGAGATATAAGAACAGACGAACAGGTGGATAGAACACTGGAGATCTCTTGAATGAGCCAGCTCCACTGAACCCACTGGACATCGAAACAGCACACACAGACCTTCCTTATAGCTGTAACTCCGCCAACAATCGAAAAGATCAGCATGGCCATCCGACAAATCAAGAGCTGGAAAGCAGCAGGACCTGACAATATACCAGCTGAAGCACTGAAGTCAGATACAGAAGCAACAACAAAGAAGCTACACGTTCTATTCAGGAAAAATTTGGCGAGAGAACAGTTGCCGACAGACAGTAGAGAGGGACATCTCATCATGATACCAAGGAAAGAAAATCTCAGCAAGTGTGAGAACTGTACAGGCATAACATTACTACCAGTACTAGGAGACATTCTCAACACAGTGTTGTTGAACCCGAGTAGACGCCTTACAGGCTGCATTTCATCAGGTTTGATGGCATACCGACCAAATCGCGGCACTACAGATCACCGTTGAACAATCAGTTAAATGGAACACATCGATTAACATCAACTTCCCCGACTATGATAAATCAATTAACGGTGTAGAAGGGAGAACCTTATAAAACTTTCTTTGACATTGTGGTGTACCTGAGAAGATCTTCAACATAAGGAGCTTGAAAGATAAACTACACTATAAACTCGTGCATGGAGGGTAGCACACAGATCCATTCCAAGTGCAGACGGCTGTCGGACAGGACAGCTTATTATCATCTTTTCATTTTCTTCTGGTGGTTGGCTCGATTCACACCTGAGGGAAAACATGGAATAAAATGGACAGTTCGGAGTCAACTAGACGAGTTTGGAGATGACCCGCCCCTTTTATATCTCATACATAAATTCACCGAAATCATTCAAATAAAAACACAACACTCCTTAGAATATATGTTTTTCTAGGCAATATCTATAAACAAACCTTCTTTGTAATGGACGTCATTGTGGTAGATGGTTTACACTCATGAGAATTTGATTGATTGTTCACAACATCGACAACACTTGGCTTTGTAACTATTTCTTGAGAACGATTTTTGGGCGCTGAGACTTTATTTGATTTGCGGCCTAGTAAAGCACATAAATAATAAAGGTTACAAACCATTATAACACAAATAATTTAAACATACTATAACATTCTACATACAAAGATGTATTTCAGCAGAAACATGATTTTCATTGAATATGAATATGTAGTGGAGATTGACCAGTAATACTGATCAAAAAAATAAGTGTACATCAGTTGTTGACAAAGCATGTGTGCCCTTTACCACAAAAACAACATACATAATATACGTTCACATCACAAAGCGTTTAAATAAATTAACGTTATTTTAGCGTCTTTAACAATTTTAACTATTCCATTACCGTACCTACGATAAACCAGTTGGAAAACAAGTTTTCACTTTGGACATTTGTCTATGAAAGTTCAGACGAAAAAGGAGCACATAACTGACAAAGTAATCACTTTAAGTCTGAGTTCACTGTAGGTTCGACTTGACCAATAGCATTCAAGTAACGAGATTTTAATAGGGAAGTATAATTTTGGCACGCCACTTAGAGGTGAGTTCTAATGCTGAAAACCATCTACTTCAGAGAAACACGACCACAATAGCAATAATTTACGTATCCTTAGAGCTTCATACTTGCCAATCACTATCATCGCTCACTGAAATTTATGGTGCACATGGGCTCCAGTATCCTGAGGGAACAAATGGCGTATGAACCAATCGTTGGTCACCGGCTACCATGGGATTGCATCTCCTTACGATGCTCCACTGCCTTGTGGGTTAGACCTTTAGGTCAAAGGCTCGGGGAGTGGCCCGCTAAGATAACCACCTGCTTCGGTTCGGGCACCCGGGCAGTATCACAGCCCACACACAAATTGATGAACTCTCTATGCCTATGGAAATTACCTTTCTCGCTTCGAAAAACAATCAATTGTTTCAGATTATTATCATTACAATTATTGTCATTATTAATACTATTATTATTACTACTATTATTGTCATTATTGTTATTATTATTATTATCATTATTATTATTATTATTTTCCACATTATTCACCCTCTTTTATACTTATACAGCGGCTCGTTTTTGGTGGAAATTCGACTGCATCTAAACGTTCTCGAGTCACTGTCTGGTTGAAAATTGTATGTTACCACCGAATACGAGGACTGAAGCAGTTTTTCTGAAACCACGTGCACTATTCAAACTGGCTGCCTTCAACGTTCGCACATTTATGCAGGTCAGACAACAGATAGGGCTGGCTATGTCTTTGGAAAGTCTTAATATTGATGTTTGTTGTCTATCCGAGACCCGTATTCAAGATTTCATGGCCGGTGACGACTGATCCACCAAACGAGGAGGAAGTCCGCAAGGAACTCCAACTCTTGAAGTGTTACAAATCACCTGGCCCAGATGACTTACCTCCGGCTCTTTTTAAAGATGGTGGTGACTTTTTGACTAAGGAATTGAAGACGTTGTTTACAAAGGTTTGGGAACTAGAGAGTGTACCAACGTCATGGAATGAGTCGATAGTTGTCCCTATCTTTAAAAAGGGTTCACGTCGTTCCTGTAACAACTATCGGGGGATAAGTCTACTTCCGATTGCGTCCAAGCTATTGGCTTCCGTCATACTTCGTAGGTTGTTCAAAACCCGAGAAAGATTGACTCGCGAGGAGCAGGCTGGGTTTCATTCCGGTCGAGGATGTATTGGTCATATCTTCACCCTCCGCTAAATGTTAGAACACCGCCATACTTTTCAAAGGCCAACAGTCGTAGTGTTTCTTGACATCAGGGCTGCCTTCGATTCGTTGGACAGGGCTGTTCTCTGGGATTGTCTATTGAAGAAGGGTGTGCCTGAGAAGTTTATTAACATCCTAAAAGCCCTATATACAAACACCTCAGGCAGAGTGAGGGCATACAACCACCTTTCTCCATTGTTCCATTCGAGCAGTGGGGTTAGGCAGGGTTGCTCAATCTCACCATTCCTCTTCAACTTTGCCATCGATGACATTCTGGAAACAGCTCTGATGAATGTAAGTAATGGTGGTGTGGATCTGTTGCCTGGAGAAAGACTTCTTGACCTTGAGTATGCGGACGATATTGTCTTACTGTGCGATAATGCCCAAGGCATGCAATCCGCACTTAATCAGTTGACAATCAGTGTCCGTAGGTATGGTATGTGCTTTGCACCTTCGAAAAGCAAAGTACTTCTACAAGACTGGCAGGATTCCAATCCTGTACTCAACCTGGATGGTGAGCAGATAGACGTAGTTGAGAAGTTCGTGTATCTGGGTAGCTGCATAAGTGCTGGTGGGGGTGTGAGTGATGAGATCAATGTACGAATAGTGAAAGTCAGAGCGGCTTATACCAATCTGGGCCACCTTTGGCGCCTTCGTGATGTTGGTCTGGCTGTAAAAGGTCGGATCTACAACGCGTCGGTGAGAGCAGTTTTGCTCTATGCTTGTGAAACCTGACCTCTCCGAGTTGAGGACGTTAGACTACTCTCTGTGTTCGATCATCGTTGTCTCCGAAGGATTGCTGACATCCACTGGCAACACCATGTTAGTAATGCAGAGGTTCGGCATCGTGTGTTTGGGCGCAGAGACGATAATCCAATTGGTGTCACTATCTTGAAAAATCGACTTCGGTGGCTTAGACATGTTCTACGAATGTCGTCCCAGAGAATTCCACGTCGTGCATTATTTGCCGACTCTGGGACTGGTTGGAAGAAGCGGAGAGGTGGTCAGTGCATGACATGGTGTCGTGTTATGAAAGAAAGCTGCAAAGGGCTGGCTTGTGTTGGTCCTTCACGACTTCCTGGCTGGGCTCCGAGAGATGGTGCAACACAGTGGCTAGAGACGTTATCAGATATGGCTCAGAATAGAAGCCAGTGGCGATCCTGCTGTAATCTTCTTTTACTTTCTTCATAAAAAGTGGTTGTGTCTCCCTTACCTGAAAGATTTCTTCCGATTGTACCTTTGCGTTCCCTCATTACTACCACACTACCTTAAACCAATCTCTTCGTTATTGTTCTCTCTTTTTATTCTATTTCTCTTCGAATTCTCATTGTTTTATGTGGCGCATATTTATTGGCGCTCTCTTGTACCAATATTTATGTGTTCAAATAAATAAATAAATAAATAACGTAATCACCATTAATTAATCTGTCGAAATAAATACGAAAGATATCGGTTGTACATGACACGAATTCAAAAAATTGCTGCACTGAGCCTGATATCATTGTTTAAAAATGAACAGACCAGATGAAATCTACAATATTTTAGTCTGGATAGATGTACCAAGATTCATATGTTGAAAAATAACACACAGAATTGACAAAGTTGTTTACCTTCTTTTATGAATTCATCATCTAGGCGACTATCCGTTTTAAGCAAGTGCGAATCAGATTTACGAGAGTCTTTATGTGTTGACTTGGGCATGTTTGGATCATTACCATTAACAGGTTTATTGAGACTTGGAAGTATTTGTGGTGGTGGTGGTGGTGGCGGTGGTGCAGGAGAACGATATTTTTTCTCGGATTCCTAAGAGCAGTGAGAGAAAGTATCAACTACAATCACGTCATGTGAATAAAAATGACGAATTAAACTCAAGTACAACATCATCCGATTAGACTGATCAGACATTATGTTTACATTGCATACATACCAAAAAACATTGATTTTCCACATCCACATGGAAAAGAGACAATGAAACAGTCACAAATGTAATCCGCTCACCATAGAAATATAAAACCACAATAATACATTTACTAAACACAACTCAATATTTTAAACGAGTTAGTCAAAACGCTAATGCGTGCGTAGAAAGGAATCTAAGGTCATTGTGACTGAAAGAAAAACCAGCGCACACAGTATAGAGTTCACAAACGATGAGTAAAAATTCGTACTATATGTTCCGACCTAGAGTTTTTTTTTTCTTATAATTGGCGGTCCATATAAAAGAATGTAATTATTAGGAGGTAGTAATTATATTTGAAGTTGTTATATTTGTTGATTATACTTGTTTAATTTTGTGATAATTAAAATTCAGCTTCTTTATTATGATATTCATTTATCAGTGGTAAGTGCTACACAGTTTAGTTTACTCAAAATGTGGCTGTTGTTTATTGTAAACAAAAGAAGTTTTGAAATGTAGTTTTTGATGTATTTCTAGTGTTATATAAATATTTGTTCTGTGTACCTGTCTTTTTCCTTGTATTGTATCATATCAGTTTTGTTTATTTATAGCACAAAATGAATAATGAATACGTTGGAATTATAAAGCAGTAAGACAAAAATTGTCTGAAATTGTTGGCTTCATACTATCTGGCTCAAATTCAATATCTAGTAGATCATTTTTGTTAAGATAAAAACTATTCAAAGCTCTCTGATTTACTGTCTTATACATCTTTAACTGAATTCATCACAATTATGTTTATGGAGTATTGATCAGGTTAAATATTTAAACGATTGTAGTGGGTGCAGGAATATTCCTACGCCTGAATTAATAGGTATAACCGATGCTGGTATAAAAAGCACTACATTTCTGACAAGTTACATCCTTTTGTTTTGTATTATCACTAAAGGGGCTGGAATGTCTTGACCACGGGCTTTGTATTTACTAAGATTTGTCAAGAAGCGCTTCTGAAACGTTTAGAAAAATTATGTCCGCCTAGATGATTCTCGAAACATCGCTTAGTGCTCCAGTCATTTATTATTAGTTAGTTAGTTCACGAACTGAGCTGCTTGGTCTTGGAGTAATCACTTTCCCAGTGCTTGTAAAAATTAATTAACCGAGGAAGCAATGTTTTTGGTAAGTGAACCAAGATATGCCCACGTTTCTAATTTAATATTATATCAACTCAGTTTTGACGTAGGTTGTTTAATACAGCTGGGCTCATGTATCTTCTAAATTAAAGAAATACTCTCCCCGAAATGTATATATTGGCAAGACAAAAATTCATGAGACAAAATACAAACACGCAAACCTTCTTTGTATTTGAATTCACCATGGTAGACGATTTACGCTTGTGTGAATTTGATTTATCTTTCACAATAAATGATTTACTCCTTAATTCTTGAGAGCAGTTACTAATTGAGTCCCTATTTGCCTGAGATCCTAATAAAGAAAAGGAATAATACAATAAATGAAAATCAATTCAGTATGAATTGTCTATAGTAAGTTCAGAGCAGTGATACCACAGTGAACAATGAATCACTTGAATAACTCTATAAAGTTTAAAAATAAGTGATATGTATTACTGTAGACTAAATTCACTGATTAATAAACACTTACATTTCATTAGTTATAAATCAGCATTTCTAAAACTACTTTGTAAAATTCTAAATGATTAAAATATTAGATGTTGGATAAGTCCCAAAGATCATTCAGTGGAATCTCACCCACACACGAATTATATAACAAATACTAAATGTTCAATGCTTTTTAAAACAAATTACCTCAGTAACAAAGAAGTAATCAACCTTTCATGACGAATTCTTAGACTAATTTATTACCTATTTATTTGTCTGATTTATCTTTTTCTGTGTAATTAACAATATAACTGTTTAACAATAACTTGAAGTACTGTTCAGTTAGTAGGTATCATTACCAAGGTTTAACTTGATAATTTCGAATAAATCGAGCATTGGGTAGATTGTTATAAATAAGTTAATATATTCGCAATGTCCCAAAGAGTAGAAAAATGAGATTTTCTGACGTTTCGTGACTTAGTGTAGGCCACTTCTTCAGAGAATAAACAACTAAATTAAAATTCTTGTTGTTCCGTTGTACTATTTAAACTTGGATTTATTTCAATTTTGTTGTTTATTCTCTGAAGAAGCGGTTTACACTAAGTCACGAAACGTCAGAAAATCTAATTTTTCTACCCACTGGGATATTACAAATATCTTATTTACTGTTCAGTTTTATTTTATTTTTCTATTTACAGAAATAATATAAGAAAATACAGAATTGACCAGCCCAAAAATGATCAACAGAGACTAGAACTTACCAACAACTGAATTTCGTTTATCGTCCAATTTTTTATTATCATTTTCCTTACTTGGTAGTGTTACACAGCTAGAAGACTGTACCTTGTCAGGTACATCGGCAAAAGGTGATAAATGTCGATGAATTATTTGTTGTTTAGCAGGTACACTTGGTGCTGGACGCCTTTTATGCTTACTTTCAGTAGAGATCTTAGTTAACAATAACAACACAGAAAAGATTATAAATTAATTAAACAGCTATTAGGCCTAGAAAAATCATAAAGTATTGTACATAAAGCTTGCAATTCAACTATATTTATTACTAACTTTTACCATATATTCATGTTAAAATTACTTATCAGAAAATTTATTTTAAACCAACTCAATTAATAAGCACTTGATCATGACTCAGTATATCATAGTTCGAATGGTTGCACAGTTAGAAGACAGCCATCATTACAGACAAAAATACCAGGGAAACCTGAATGTTAATGACTTACAATTCGATGTAATGTTGTAATTATGGTTTGTTGAGATGTTTAAAACAAGGACAGATATCTAGTGGCTACTCGGTTTGGGTAGTTCATTAGATGATATTAGTCTATGATGAACACGTTGAAAATGATAAAATTGTGAATAAACGCCAAAGTGAGCTATTATGATTATTACTAGTAATTTCTTCGCTTCATATGATTCATTGTAAAAAGAATTCTGTTAATTATTAACGCATAATTAACGATAACATTTATCCCTGTTCTTCAATTAAAATACACACAGATATCCAGATGACCTTATGTAATTAATGATAAATTAACTATTTTTCGACTTTTCACATTATCATAATTCCTATTATTACGGCCCACCCACCCTTTATTCAGTAGCATTCTTGGACAATACTTCAATCGACAAGTCTCTAAATCAGAACACGGTTGAATAGGAACGTAATTATATTCCAAATAACAAGGTTGAATAGAAGTAGGAATCCCAACAAGATAAACGTCAGAATATTTATAATTTTCACATGAGAAGATTCTTCTCCAAGTCTCCGCTAGCGCTGATTGCTCAAGAAATAGCCGACCAGAGTGCCTCAACACAATGCTGCACGGAGTATGCTTCAATTCAATCTATGTACCGCTAACACAAACTTAGTTACTTGTAAAATAATATTCTGGTGTACTATTATTATTATTACTACAGATATTATAAAAATAAATTTTGTTTACTAGAGAGTACTCTGACCTAAAATGTTAATAGTCTAGAAATCATTATCAGAAATGGGTTTTGTGGAGATTGTAGTAATTTAACAGTTGAATTCATGAGTGGATTAAAGCCAGACCACCTTGGAAAGCCTGGAAGCACTGCATGGCCGTTTCGTCCTCGTACGAGACTCCTCAGCGATGAGCATCCACGACCCCGCTTGCGGGATCCGAACTCAGGACCTCTGATCCCGCGTGCCAACGCTTAACCTCTAGACCACTGAGGCAGCATCCAACAGTGTAAATGTCTAACTTCAACCAATCCGCGAAATTGCGCCACCATGGATGCGCACTTCTGAGGAGTCCCATACTAGGACGAAAAGGTCGTCTAGCGCTTCCAGGTTTTCCAAGATGGTCTAGCTTTAATGGACTCGTGAAGTCTAGAAATTATCTTTAAACAACAATGTTACGTTAATTAATTACAAAAAATAAAACAGTGGTCTTCTAGGTTGAAACATCCATTTAGAGTTTTCAAATCACTATATCAGAGGCTAAAAATGTAAAAACTTGGGAATGTGTGTCAATAGTCAATGAATTTAAGAATTGATTCAATGACATGCGACTTTTTTATCCCACTACTATGCTGCAAATCGCTGGCTAGTGATATGTAACACAAACCTAAACAAATTCACTCGTTGAAAATCCAGGACTCTCCAAAAGACTGGCTACTAACATAACTTCTTTAATACTAAGTCACTTATGTTATCAACTAATTCAATATAAATGATGGAACTCAAGAGGTAACTGAAATGGCCATTTTAAAGAATAGCTGAACAAAATTCTTACTTCCACTTCCAAATTAGATATCAGAGAGTCATCATTTTGACTCTTTTTGTGTGACTTTGAGTTCTTGCTAGATTTAACTTTTCGTTCTGCAAGATGAAAGATTTAAAAAATCATAACAGACAGACACCAAGATATTAATATAGGAAGTGATTTGCAAGTTTTGACAATTTTTAATAGCTGTAAATTCATACAACTGGAGAAATTACATCAATCGGCTTTCTCATCTATTTGTTTACAAACAAGCGTGCAAGTAACCGTCAAGCAGCGATTCAGTTAGGCAAGCTTAACTGTTCAAATATCACTGTCTAATTTTTGAACCATATTTCTTATGTTTAGCCTTACATCGGAACAGCCATTAATATTTTTACCGTTCTTTCCATTCCAGTGAGATTCTTTCGCATAGCTCTTTATTCAGTATACACATAGAACTTTGGTTGTTCCTTGAAGATAAGCTAAGAGTTAACTATCCAAACTTCATTTCTCACACTTAAACTACCATTGCTTTTCATGTTATTTTCCATACTATGCTTCCCATTTTGTCTGTTTCCTCTAGCTGCATTGATCCAAGCGGAGGCGACTTGGAGTGACGCAAACCTATCCCAGGTCCTACATAGATAACGACTAATTGACTGACTGATTACTTAAAGATAAGATCAAATAATTTTAGTTTTTCTAAGTAATCAACCTTTGACGACCACGTAAAGTGGCTACATATTGAGAGAACAATAACTCATGTTCAAAATGAACAGTCTCGGAGACCAAATAAATCGACACTCCTGCGAATGTGGCGAAATGGTGAAACAAAGTAGATTTAAACGTAATACATGCTATTGGACAGTAACCATGTCCTAAAAAGTATAGCAAACCACTCGGCGATTGGTTGATTAGTGATATTATTATAACTATGTAGTCTCAAGTGGTATATTACAATTGTTTGACACTCACTATAACCGAACTACAAAAAGACTCTTGAAACAAATATGTCAGTGAAATTTTAATCCTTAAAATAGCTGCCAGGTTCTACGTTGTTTATGACTGACCTTAGAACATAGTCACTAAGGAAATGATAGAAAGGCTGTTTCAGAATTAAGAAAGAATAAATAAATGATAAAAGAGCTATTTCGTAAACCTGAAATTTAGCTAGTTTTTTAATCACATGACTACACTTCAGAATTAAAAGATCATGCAACCAAGGATTTTAATCATTATAAGACCATAATCTTTCCAGTAAAGACAGGAAGAATTAAGCGCCAATTTAAGTAGCCCGTGATGGTCGTTCTGAGCAACTCTGGCTGACGGGTTATCGAAAGCTATCAGTTTTATTTATATCACGTTTGTTACATCTATATCAACTTTGCAGAAGCTAGTAACAAGATAATAAATGGGTTATTATAAAGAAATCCAAACCGAGTTACCAACCTTTAAGTTCAATTTGGTCTGCATTTTGATTTAAGAATGTATCTTTTGGATCTAAAATCGTTCCCTTTTGTGGATCAGTAATGTAGTAGTTGCTTAATTGAACATGACGCTCCGAAGACACCTGAAATGAAAGCAAGGCAAAATCGATGGCGCTAAACATGTATATCGTCAGTAATTGAATACATCACACACCGAATAGTACACGTTAGTCCCTAAAATTGTCAAAAGACTCAGCTCACTGAAAGTTAAAGGAATAAATCGGCAGATTCAGACTACGATATATTTACCGCCTCAGACAAATCATACAACTTAAAGGTCTGGATCCCATTGGTCAATAAGAAATAAAGCATACAACCTGAGGAAGTTAGACCGGCTTCAGACCTGGTTGTCGATGTACTGAAAGTCTTCGCCGTTCAGTAGGTTTGAAAACACAGGCACCTGTACTACCAGCCAGTTGTGACCATGTTTCTTAACCTGAAAAATCAGTAGTATAAGTCGGTCAACTTTGGTATCGACGCGACATATTTGAGAAAAATAAACAGAAGTATGACATAATACAAATGTGCATCAGTTCAAATCTTCTACGTTTCGTACTGCCATATCTAAAGGAAATTAGAACGACAAGAAGTAAAAACAATGATACTGACGGTAATAAATGATGTAAAAATGGAGATAACAGAATTCAAAGTACAGAACAAATCGGCAAAGCTAAATAAATAGTAAGTTTAGGCAGCATCGCGCCAAACTACTATGCAAAATTCGACCGAAAAATGCTTACTTTTTGAAGTACTTTACTAATAGGTTGATCCAAATGTCCACGAACGACAATTGTGCAGTCTTCTGGTAAATGCACAGTAATCCGATGTCCCAGCTAATTTTAGAAATGCAGATAAAAAAGCAGTAATGTAGTGCATCAACAAGCATACATTTACAGAACAACAGCTTTGAAGTTTTTCCTTCTACTATACAGTAGTAAAAACTTTGTATGGCAAAAACCAGTAGTGGATAAAAAGAAAAACACATAAATGAAATCACTGCGACGTATAAATGATTCAGAGGTCAAACTAGTTTTAGGGGATTAAGAAATGAACGGAATTTACGAATTATTATTACAGTAGAATACCCCGTGAGTTAAGATCAAAGAAAAAGCAAGTACTGCTTGACAAACACATTAGACGAAATGGTAGTTGTCTAAAAACTGTAAATGAGCACTTTGAAACCAGTTGTTACCATCATTAATAGTGGTATGATTTTGGTAGAGAAAATAGAAACTGCTGACTACTGAATTATGTGATTTAGATCTGATCTCCAATAACTTCGACACAAAACATGTTTAAAAATACTTTTTTTCTTTTTGTGTCTACTTAAACCACTGTTCAAAACTTTGTGTCTAGCTAATGAAATAAAATCCGACAAGGTCATTAGTAACTCAGTAAACGGAAAAAATTATTTATAACTCACTTCTTTTAAAAATTCTCTCCCCGTTTTTAGGAGTGTAATAGGGTATTTGAACTTCGTGTCAAGGAATGGATACTGATAAAGCTTAGCAGACTTCTTGAAACAGCATTTAGCAATGAGCCTAACCATAGATGGTAGCGTTGTTTGAGTTGTATCAGAATTAACCCAATGGCCAAGCCTACTCCTAGAAGGCGCAGAAAGCCAAAAGATGCCTGAAACTCCAGAAAGGCCCTCACAAGGAACTAAGAAAGTGTAATCCACTGCTTCTAAGCCACATAATGAACAAAGTCGAACGAGGAAATCAGAACATTGCATGTCGAAGTCCACACCATAAACGCGAATAAACTCTTCAGTAGCGATACACTCGACGTCGACATACGATCCATTATCACCACAATCCATATAATAAAATCTCGTGGGATCATAATTTTCAAAACCCCGGGAGTTGCTGCCGAATTCTGAACGATCCTTAGAGGACTTCGAGTAGACGATGTTCTTAAGCCTTTCAATTGCATCAGCCAAACCCATATCCTTAGATAATGTGTAGTATTAAATTTGAAACACTACAGTCCCCACAGAAATTCCCAGCAAAATTGACAAGAGTCGTTGGTGGACTAGTAGAAAATGAAATAAATATTTGATTTAGGAATTTATCCCAGATTTTAGTTTATGTTTATAAACTTTCCAATGTTACCACCTAGAAGAAACTTCAAAAAAAAGCAAGACAATTCACTGTTTTGAGATACAGTACTGCCTAATATATTTATTTCCCAAACTTAGATAAAAGAGAATACATTACGTACAAGAGCATTCTTAAAAGTCTTCAATTTTGTTTTGCTGACAAAGACGATTTTAACACAAAAGATGTAACCATATCTAAATATGAGTATTTACTGGAATGTTTTTTAATTACAAAGGTAACAGATGTCTAGATTTTCAGTGATATTCAAATTCCTAGTTCCTTCAACTTTATGTTTATTCACTTTTACACACTTTATGCATATTGTCATGTTATTCCTCACTATTGCTTCGACTTAAAATGACAAAAGAACACTTTTGAAAAGCTGAATGTAAAATTAAGTTGATATGACCTCGCGAGTAGTAATTATTTTAAAGTGAAATGATATGCAGAATGTGAACAAGACAAAACCCCGCCTCTGTTTCATTAGGTCACCTGAGGAAGACCTTACTAGTAGTGGTACAAAAAAACAAACTACAATGTCCAAGAAAACTGAATTTTCTGTAATTTGTTGCGAAGTCATATTTGTGTAATACGCTTTCACGTTACGAAGTTAATAAATACCCGAAATAAACAGTTCTGTACTGGTAGTATTGATGGTTGTGCACTACCGAGGAGTACCGTAGTGAGACGAAATGGCCGTTCAGTGCTTCCTGTCTTCGATAGTAAGGATGGGAGAACAATCCACCTGTCTCAATCCTGGCAATTTATAATACCGTGAAGATCCGATCTCTCGCTGAATGTATCAGGTGCTGACAGCGTGTTCTCGAAAAGAACATTAATTCACTACTCGGTTTGATAAGTGCGTAGCGGCAAATAAGTCCCTGAGATAAATGGCTAAACAAGGCTTCGGCATTGACGATGATGTCATTGGTTTTACTAGGCACACCCTGACCGGAGGCGCTTGATCACACATCCAAATCAGACCGCGAGTAGGCACGCCGTGCTACACATCCTTTTTGACTACCAGCCAGGTCAGATTAAGCGCTCCTCAATATATCGACAATCTTCCAAATATGTGTTCAAGTCCGTTTATACCTAAATCTTGATTTAACAGGGTTGGCACACTTCCATGAACAAGGTGTTACGGACAAGAGCGTTATCAGACCCTGAAAATCTGTGTCAATAGTTGACGAGGTCAAAATATGACTTGAGAAGAATAAGTAAATTAGTCCGTTTTGAAGCTAGAAAAACTTATGTGGGTTGATATAGTGCTAGCCACTACAAATATACATTGTAAGAAGTAGCACAACAATTTGAAATAGTTTGTTTTCGTTAACACTGCACAACGAGAAATATTGTTCTATATCAGACAGGGTACAGTATCAAGTAAGGAGTGAGTGTATAATATGAGAGTGGCATACCTATGTAAACAACGAATGTGAATATTACAAAAATGTGGACAAAAAAGGGGAAATGTAAGCATGTGATTATGAACAAATTAATTAGCGAGCATGCATACACTTATAGCACAATTATCCTAACGAACAATATTCTTTTCAACGATTTCTCATCAAGTTCTACAATTCTATATCCAAATAAACAATCCACAAAATTGGCCAGGTTTGAAGCAAAGTACATCGTTGATAATATAACATGTGAATTAAGGATTGTTTGTAATATAAAATCAAATTGTTAATGCTTGGGTGTCTAATATAAGGTGCTAACTTGAATAAGGTCATACGTTAAAGGAAATTATGAGAATAACCATCAGAATAAGTATGGTCAACTTGGAGTAAGACAGAAAAAAGTATATTTACAGATCGAAAATCACATAATATATACCATGATAGGAATTAGACAAGAATTAGTAGATAGGATTGGATGCTGAATAAATATCTCAAAAGGTTAGCAGGTGTAATAATAATGATAAAATAATAATAATAATGATAATGGTAAGATGTGTGGATAAGTTAGGTTTATGATATAAAAATGAACAGTGGTTAAATTACGTCACCATATCATAAAAAATAAATAATGACTAGTTGGCTTCGAAGTTGGCCAAAGTGAAAGGAGCGGCTGAACATGTTTCTTTTGGATGCAAAGCTCTGGCACTTTAGTCCGAATAGCAATTACTTCAATCGTCTGCAGGATTCCCAGTATAATGGAATTAGGGAGACTGTTGTTAACTGTTAGGATAGTCGGAAAAAGAGACCAATAATTATCATGTTAAGTTCAATGGTGTCCTTGAACCTTAAATGTACATTTCTTATTGGTCGATGTTTATTTCACTTGTTAAATATTTTGTAAATGTTGTTTCCTATTTTATGGTACGATGTGGTATGCTTGGTTGGTATACAAACAAAGTATGTTTGAAATATAATGATTCATAACTCCGAGGCTGTGACTTGCGTTCTGGACTCAATTGGCTGGGCTATACAGGGAAGCGAGACCAATAAGAACCCTAGGTCGTTCTACATGTTTGCGCGTCTTTGGTCCGATCAACAATTCGCTATCCCTTAATCAGCAATTATTTTTCACGTTACAACATTAACATGATATATTACTATGAAAGATTGCTCCATGTTGCTCGCATATCCTGTTCGGATTGAATAAACTTAAATGGAGCTGTTAACAGTTTTAACTGTGCATTTGCTTAACCACACACATACATTTATAACGTGTTCGCGATTCGAAATGGCGTGAAAACAGAGTAATAAATAGTTTATGGGCATGACAGGAATAATTATTGAGAGTAAGTAGAGTGGAATATTACAGATATTGGCCTGTAGTGCAGACAGAATATAAGGATAAAGATTAATTGATTGTAAAATAGTTCCAATAAGCCTCAGTAGAGTAAATAGTGTCGATTGGTTTCGTAGGATAAAAATAATCCAGCCATAAAATGGTAACTGCATTGATGAATGATATTTGTTGCTGTACTGTAATTGGCACTAATCATAAAATGCGAAGCCAGTGTTGTTGTTGTTTGTGTCATAATCAAATGAATCGAGTTATCGGTAAATATGCATTGATAGAATGACCAGAGGAAGACAGTAGTGCCTTCGAAGGCGAGATACAAGGAGTCGTATTCTTTTTTTGTCATGCCTAGTATTGTTTGTGTAGTTAAAGGGATATGTACTGGACTTAGTTTGTTACAAAAGCGTACTAAGGCGTGATAAAAGTGCCAATACACATGACTATCGATGACGGGCGAGTGAGACTGGCTTCGATGTGACGAATAAGAGTATATCTTTGAGAGACTAGCTCTATGTTCTGATCTACAGTGTGGCAAGGACAGAATTATAGTTTCAGTAACCAAGTGCTGTTTGCGGGTAATGAGTGATGCAGCATGCAGTTTTACATGCGAATACTTAAATAAGATTAACATAATTGTCACTTATTGGCTAGTAATGCAACAACGAATATTTGATGCATATGTGGACAATAAGGCAAGGATCATCGACTAAACAAAGAGTGGCTGAAGCTCGGTTTGTATTGTCGTTGAAAAAGTGGAAGACAACGATTGCTGCGTGATAATGCAATGAATGGGCATTAGTTGTATATCGAGACCCTAACTTCACGTTACAGAGTGTATGACTCCAAACCTGTGTCCGTAATAGCGCTGTTAACCGTTGCCAGTGATATGGTAGCTGCGATCGTGCTATTTTCAACGTAAACAGGTTCACTCAACTGTTAAGACTGACTATTTGTATGCCTGCGTGAGTCGCTAGACCGTCAATTTACTTAGCGTGTTGCAGGTTGTTCGATGTACGAGTAGCTAGTAAATAAGTTGAAGACAAATGAGATGTTATTACCGTATATCCACAAAAGTGAACGATAATGAATAGGTCATAGGTGTGGCAGGTACTTCTGAACATTAAAAAAGCTAAAAAAAAATGTGGATGCAGAATAGTATGAATTCAATATATTTCGTGGTTTTATAGAATTCTGGTCTAGTTCGTTATTAATACTGCTATAACAATAGAAATAACCCTGAAATTTCAGATTTTTCATAGTGTGACTGTCTAGTCATTGAGATTATACATGGAAGTCACATCACTGTCCACGCTGACTCATCGTATCATACTGAACACTTTGAAAGAACATATTTTGTCTGGGGATGGAATAATAAATTCAACAGGCATCATTACAAGGTTTAAGTTGAGCATTTCAAACAAAATGAGCATTGGGTAGATTATGGTAAATAAAAATAATATAGTTGTAACATCCGAATGAGTAGAAAAATGAGATTTTCCGACGTTTCGTGACTCAGTGTAAGCCACTTCTTCGAAGAACAAATAACCAAATTAAATCAGTCCAAGTTCAAAACGTACAAAGAGATAAAGCAAGAATACCAAGTGCTGTTAACAAAAACATGTCTGAAAAGGTCAATGTGATGTCATTCCGATCAAGGTGTCTTATATTAGACATGTGTGTCACTATGGACGAGCATCTGAAGCAATTACGACAACTATTCATGCAAATACGAAAGCATGGAATCTCTGCAAACGTTGAGATGTGTGAGTTCAGAAGGGGATCCCTGTAGTTACTAGGTCACATAGTAACTTCGCAGTGTATTATGCCGATCTCAGCAAAAGTCTGTGATATCAGAGATTGTCCATTATCCTACTCTTGGAAGAACTTACGACGATTTCTCGGGCTAGCAAGTTATTATACACGCTTATTCTGAATTATGCAGCAATAATTCAACCGTTGACTGACATGCTCGAACATTCTATTTATCAGCAGAGGCGACACAAGCATTTGAAAACGCCAAGAAGGCAACGAACAAAGAGAAAACGCTGGCTAGACGAAAGAGCGAAACACCAATATCTGCCATGACCTGTAACGGTATTAAAAATCATTACAGCTGACGTTACTAACGTGAGTTCGTTTTTCTTATTGCATGGCAGCAAATAGTAAACATACTGGAAGGAGAGTAACAAGCCCTATGTGGGCTGAACCTGCAGAACAGTGGGTAAAACTATTTTGTAGTAAGTTTCCTTTTTGTACCGGAACCGCGTCTTTCGATTTTCAAAAATATATCTGTTGTGCAGATACGCCTCGGCATTTACTGGTCATGACTGTTGCGTTGTTGTTTCAGATTACTCCTGCTTCCAAGTGAATGCTAATATAATGTGCTACAGACCGATGGATTGAATGAGGCGGTAAGAACCATTTCACAACCGCTTCCATTTTTTCTCGAAGAGACTGAATCATATACAAACGAGACATAGCACTTTCGGATGAGAATTACCCGCAATTAACTTGGCAATAAAACATCATTATGTAGTGAAAAGTACAAATTTTACTGTGTACACTGGCCACAAATCACTCACAAAAGCACAAAGCACAAAGCAAGATAAATTCGACAGTAAGAATTTATTTCCCAGTTCACGTCCAGTATACGATATATTGAAAGCCAAGAAAACGAAGTAGCTGACGCACTATCAAGGAGGACGATAAACGCGCTTTTTC